GAATTGTTAGACTGGTCTCTTAAAATAAATCTATAACATACATACATACATACATACATACATACATGAAAGAAATTAAAAAAAAAAAACAAAAAAAAGAGAAAATACCTTTTGAGACACCCCGTGGGCGGAGCCCCCAATATGACTCGGTAAGCGTTGTTTCCAAAATACTTACTAAAGTATACTATACTAGTATGTACATACATACCGAAGACTATCATACATACAGTGAACTGTCAGAATCATTACATGTATTTCGATTTTCTTCTACAATTGCCCCCCAACAATTCTTGGTTGGTTCCTCCACTTCATGCTAATGCAATGTTCAAGGCTCTCTCTTCTCGGCCTTCTCTGTATGAAATACTCTTTTCTTTCCCACTTATATGCTTCATCTTACACTAAATCTCTCACTCTCTCCCCGTTCCCCCTTCTCTCTTTCCCACTCCTCCATACATCACTCCGGTATGTGGGGTTCGGCGCGTTCGCTCGGCCAACGATTCTATATCCGTACGAGTAAAAATAACAGAACATGAGAACGATCGCTTGCATCCATCACATTTCCAGAACTCCACTGCTGAAGCATTCGACTAAATGCCATTCCAGCTCTGACTAAAAGGTCTTCATGCCATTGATTGCTTTCCGGATACGCCGTCACATGTGCAATAGAACATCTTCGTTCCCATTCTCCCCTGCCGACTTAAGTCTCCCCGGCTCTGCCTTTCCCCAAGAGCCCCGTTTGGTCCATTATGCGACCCGGTGCGAACGATAGGAGAGAGCAGCAGATCTCCAGAAGGTGGCAAGGGAGAACGAAACCAGACGGAAGTTAATGAACAGGTAGATAGATGGAGCAGAAAGGACGGAAAGTCAAGGGCGAAAAAAAAAAAATTAAGGAAAAAAAGGGGGGGAATAAATCATAAATAGCAAAGTTCATCAATAGTGGGTCGTTTGGCACGATATCTTGTGGGAAGGCATAAATCAAGACGTACTCTCGTAAGATCCGCCGCTCGCGGCTTGAAATGGAAAACGAAGTAAGACCTCCTACCCTAAGAGGAACCCTTATAACCCATCGTGCAAGACATGAAAGATACCTGGCCATCTAGGGACATAGGTTTCCTGTCGCTTGTTCCGCCCCATTCAATGCCACGGAGTGTCAACAACAGGGGAATGGAAGGGGGGACTATTGTGATAAACCGGGAAAACAAGGTGAAAGTGGGAGGACATGGATGCAAGGCGGAACAATCATAAAATCACAAGATTCGTTTCAGAAACCAAAATAACGGAAAGGCGGATACAGATGCAAATAGCCCATCACAACTACGACGTAGATTTTTCGGGGGCTCCAGAGGTAGCGTTTCCTGCGGGAGTAGAGGTTGACTCGGATGTACTAGCAGATGATCCTTCTTCAGACTTGGAGGCAGTGTCAGTTTTAGACTGAGGTCCCGGAGTTCCTTCACGCTCATTCCTGGTAGAATCAGGCGATTCGCGTTGCACCTGACTAGGTAAATCCCGATCTTCCTCAGTTTGGTCAAAGAGCTCCTCGTCGTTTTGATCAGGGACCAGCTCGGTGCCGTCACCTAGAAGAATAATGCGGCCGGAACGAACACTGAAACCACGCGCGCGATCATTTTCCATATCGTAGTCATCCGGGTTCTCTTCAAACTGATTACGGATACCAGGGCCGCGGAATTCAGCTGCATCCCCGCTCAGTCAGTAGGGGTTGGAGGCCGTAGAATCCTCAAGAGACTTGCCGTATTCGGGAGGAGCGCAAGGACCGTCGCCTTTGGCCACCCGCTCAGCTATCTGATTATACCACTCCTCTTTAGTCCTGCCGTTTAGGAGGCCAATGATTATCATAGTCATATTGTCACATCCAACCCCACCAGTTTCGCTATTTGAAGCCAAGCAGTTATCCATCATGTTCTCACAAATCCGGTGAAGTTCTTGCTTCGCGGCGATACCACGGCGGACAAACTCAACCACAGCCTGGGAAGACTGGCAGTCCCAGATACCTAAAGCTCGACATGAGTGTGTGGTTGGCAAAAGAGGTGATCGAGGGAACACTTACCGTCACAGGCTATGACAAGGAATTCATCGTCATCACTAAGCTCATGAACTGTCACATCCGGATAAGCGGTCACGATCTGCTGTTCGGGCGCAAGCTCGGGGCTTTTCTTGAACTCGAAATCACCAATGGCTCGTGACAGGGCCAGGTTTCCGTTCACACGGCCGAAATCGACAAAGCCACCTGCGGCACTGATACGAGCCTTCTCGCCTAAAGTATTTCGTCAGTAAAAGACCACGACGAGGTAAATTCAACTAGAAATGAGCCACAGACCTTCATTCTGTGGTTTATGATCAAAGGAGAGAGGCTTTGCGCGGCCCTTGACACCAAGCACAGAGCGAGAATCACCCGCGTTGGCCTATGTCCGGTTAATGATTGATCAGGCCGACTATAGCCGACCGCTGAATCGGTCACGAAACATGCTTCACGTACCACCCAGATCTTATGTTTTGAGATTACACTGACAGCTGCCGTGCAGCCGGAGACTTCCTCTTCATATTTCGGGTCTAGCCGAGTCAGTCTCTCAAGGCCTCGACGAAGACAAAAAACGGGAGAGAAGGGAAACACGGAGCCCCTGTGGATAACGCTCACGAACCTTCTAAGATAGCCCGATCGGTAGCTAAGAATCCATCTTTCAGGGCCTGTTCAATGTCGCCCTTTGCGAATGAATCCTGTTTTGCGACGATCTTATGCACGTTATCTCCAGCAAACAGTGCGACTTTGTCTCCACCATGTCCATCATATACTCCAAAGAAAGCTAGGCGGTTGGCGGGATCCGTTGGTGTCTCTTCCGGACTCGTATATTTTGCGTGGAGGTCTAGGACGGCAGCATGGGCATCCTCCATGCTGATTCGCCAGCCCTGCATGGCTGAGACGCCGTAGATGCAGCAATCATCTTCGCCCTCGGACGAGGTCTAAAGAGAGTTAGACGATATTAGCACTGATGAGTATCATCCATCGCGCAATGCAGGGCGGGCATGGGTTCGTGGGCCATCCGGGGGAAATTTTCATTCCTCATGTGGAGGACCCCGCAGGTGAGGAGCATCACGATGCGGTGCCTCGAGACCGGATCAACCCAAGAGTAATGACAAAAAAAGAACCCCCAGAAAAGCGAATGGGGCATTGGACAGAAAAAAGGGAGGAAGAGAGATATAATTAGAGAGATTGTCCGTTGGGAAGCTTGTGGCAGGCCGACCGAGCGCCCCTGCGGCCTCAGGACGGAAGGGGAGGAATTATTGCGTAAGGACATGTGTGGGGGGGATCAGAAAGGAAGACCAAAGCAGCAACACTTGGTTTCACGTACCTTATCGACTACTGGTTCTGACAAAGTCTGACCCATTATTTCAAGTGATCGCAATTTAGGGGTTCTGGGAAGACTGTAGGCCAGGAATGCACAAGCACAACTCAAGAGCAAAGAGGGAAAGGGTAAAAAAAATTCTGGGGGGAGGTGTTCTGTCAGAGAGGGGAAGAAGAGAGCAAAGAATCAGGTGGGCGAGAAAGGGTAAGGGCAGAATCGATAGGCGGCGGGTGGGAGGGAATGGCCCCAGTGGTCAATCCTCTCTATCAGAAAATTGAGAACAATTGGGGGTGGGGACCCGGTCCGGATCTGATGATGATGAAATATTCCACAGGTATGAATCACCAAATCACGAAGAACGAGATCTTTGAATGCTTTGAGCGGATAGGAATCAAAGGAAATATAATAAGTCAATAACAACGGGGTGGGAAGAAAACGAAAAGGCAGGAATTGGGGCAGGAGGAAGAGCATGGAAGGAAAGATTGGAAGGGAAGGAAAATCTCTGGTGTCACGGGTTTGTACGTATGTAGGTATCTCTGTACAAACAGAGATTGAAATTTTTTTTTCTTTTTCTTTTTATGTTTTCTTCTCATTTTAGATTCTAATTTTATTTTCGTTATGTGTAGATTCTCTCTCAACAGGCAACCCTCGTCATCTAAATTGACCCAACACCAGGCAGACAAGCAGGTAAGTACATACATAGATACATACATACAATAAGTACTGTCAGCGCAGGTGACCCCTCCCCAGAATTCCGTACCTGTCAGGGTTGAGTAATGACGTCCATCTTACTCCGTACCACCGCAAGAGATCCCTTCTTCTAAAATTATAACATGAGATCACCCCTGTGGAACTCAAGAATAAGTTCGATGAACCCTTATGGAGTGAGACTGACGCATGGAACCTAACAGAATTGACTCTTTACGGTTTAAAAGGGGTGCCTTGCTTTTACCCTCGTATTAAAAGTACATCCTCCGTACATACACCGAGGCATTTCCTGCTACCTTTTAATACCGTCGCCAGATGCAGCAGGAGGTCAGGTGTTAAGTTACCCAGCACCCAAACTAATTGCGGTAAGGCAAACATCAGGCCTTGCTTCATATATTTGTTTGTACTGTACTTACGTCCTGGCAGAGTTCACTGGAGAGGTAAGGTAAGGTGTACGCAGATATTGATTCATCCTAAAATTTGCCCTCCTTGCTCGTGTTCCAATTCTCCGAACGTTTTCACATGTGCTCTTCGATGGCAGGTCAAAGTAGGCCCACGAGTTAAATTGTTGCATAAACTCATGCTATACGTTACGCCTAAGAAAGAGAGAAAAAGCCGAAAGATATAAAAAATCCTAGAGAACACCATGACGTATATATCCACTGGATATCGATATTAATTTTTTTTTTTAGATGAGAAGTGGATTTTAACGAGGCGTCCGTACACTAGACGCGGCCAGCCCTGCCAGCAAAAACAGTATAGCACCCATCATGTATGGCAAACCCATCCAGGTACCGCCCAAAGCCATACCTTTCCTAAATGTACTGGCGAGCAACGGTCCAGCAATCATGCTCCCAACCCCCTGGACAAGAGCGATTGTGGTGTTGAGCGTTCCGATTTGAGACTCTGCAACCAATGTTGTGGCCACATTGCGGAGGGTGGAAAAGAAGCCCCATCCTAAGGCCAGAATGGATACACCGAAGGCGAACAGCACTGGGTGATCGGCCACTGCCATGAGGCCGAATCCAACTGCTAGAATAGCTGCACTTCCCTGTGTTATTCGAAGATCTCTGATAGCTGGAGAGAGGTACCGGTTTAAGTAGTGGGAGATAATTGGTAGCAATAGAAGCAAGACGACGAGATCGATCATTCCTTTTAGGGAGATGAGAAAGCTTGCCTAGAAATGATGTGTTAGTGGCTATATTCGACCCTTTACCAGGCAGCATCGCACCTTAGCCATAGTCCATGAGTAGCGCTTGGAAGCATATTGGATGATCAACTGGAGGGCCTGCCCTCCAACACTAGCCGCCAGGAATGCAATTGAAATAGCCACTGTGTTGACATTTCCCCAAACAAATGCAGTTAAGTGCATGATATGGGACCCTACACTATAGAGGGACCCCTTCCACTCCGGCGAAGTGGGTGGAGGGACAAGGCATTCATGCTCCTCGTCTACCGATTCAGATCCTAATTCGTTTAGTGACTTCGGAAGAGTTTCCGGGATGAGTATGGCTGCCAGTAAGCCACAACCCTCACAGAGCCAGCCGAGTAGGAATGGGAGCCACGGCGACCAGGACATAAGCCAAGCACTCAGAGGAGTTGCGAGGATCTCGGCAAGTAGAACAGCCGCAAAGAGCACAAAAAATATGTTTGCACTGGACAATGCACAGAAATTAGTATATCTACTACAAAAAGGTGGAGGGGGACAGGCATCTCCCTACCGCTGCTCTGCGGGAAAGATATCTGTGACGATGGTGAAGGCCACAGAGCTGGCTATTTGAGAACCACCACCACATAATTGAAATAAAGGTGTGAACCAGATAGCTCGAAGAGGAATTTCCTCACTGTACAAGCCTTGGATAGTTAGCCAGAGGACACTCATGCTCTGTTGAAATGTCGTCGCAACATACAGATGATGCGGATCGTGATCTCCTCCATGAGTAGTCCGCTCATACTTAGCATTGCAATTGGTTTGCGGCCAATGCGATCTAACAGGAAGCCCAATGGAAGGGCCAGGATGATTCCCGGGATTTGGTCCAATGTATCTTTCCATCCACTGATCAATGCCAGCTCCCCCTGTACATCTACAGATTTGCAGGGTGTATCATCCGATAAGAATTGTCCATACGGGAGATCGACAAATAGTCCTGGATGAAACCTGCGACAGATGATTGATTCCATTATCTGAGTCTGTGGAGCGAGGGAGAGGAAAGTGCCAAAGTCAAGTGTGACAATCACCGTGCATAAGAGAAACAGGGTCCATCGCTTGTGCTTGTACTCGACGTGCGCTCTGGACTGATGGGTTCCTAAGAGTGGCGTTGAGATCTCTGATTCGAGATCCTGGCTGGATGCCATCCTAGCTTTCTGTTTCTTTTCTCTTTTCTCTTTTTCCTTTCTAGACTTATTCTTGTCCAGGGTAGAGGTTGATTATTACTATTTGAGAGCGAACGAGCTCGGGCTTTAGTAGACTCTAAACAACGGACGTGGGGGAGGGAAGAGGAGGAAAGATAGAAAGGCGGATTTATGCGAAAAGAAGATAAGCACTAAGTTAGGGTTCGAAAATAAATAGCATCAGGAAATCTCATTTCTCAACGGTCAGTCCCCGCAACCGATTGAAACGTCAAATCCCTGACAGATGGTATCTCATTGCTGTATTCCTTGAAATGATTTCATTGATTCTCGCCCTTGGGAAATATTGGTCACCGTTGGACACTGGGATTTTATAAGTTAAGAAAGTTCAAGTGATTAGGGTAAGGTTGGTTCTTTGAACGGGGCTTCTCATTGTACACTCTCAAAGGAACAATACTAAGGGCAAATCTCTCCCCATACGCAATAGTTATTTGGTCCTAGCTTTTATTATCCTCGGCTTTTTCTTAATTCGGTACTAACCCAGGCCAGACTAAGCGCAGTGATCCAATGGGGGCTTAAGCATGGTCGCATCGAAGACACGCAAAGTGAGACGAATAGATCAGGCTGATTGGACATGTGAGGTGCTAAGCAAAAAGTCCATCTCTACATTATACTATAACTATCTAATAACACGTAAAGTTACTTCTCTTGATTACCCAATCTCTCCTTCCGGTTAATCCCATGTATATATAATAACATACAAACGTGATGTTGGTCCCTCATTCTAATATAACCGCCCCCCCCCCCCCCCCCCCCCGCGCCCCTTCTGGCCACAGGGAGACATCAAATGAGATACCTACAAACAATCAAGCCGCCTGGAGTTACACTCATCCTCTTGCTTCTTATGGACCGGTTAACGACACGTTCAGCTGGACAAGTGTATTTGGTGTTTGTGGGACCGGACGTTTGGGGAGCAGATTAACAAAAAGGAGCCCCAATTATCACATAACCAACTCAGACTTGAATTGCTGCATTGCAGCCATTACAGTCCCTAGTTAAATCGCCCCGAGAAATTTCTGACAGTGTTTAGTAAGTTATGCTACCCCCCTAGATTTGCTGCCTGATTGTAAGAGACATTAAAATGGCATTTGGGGTATTAGGCTGAGAGGGAAGAGACAATTGGTTACAGCTGAGAGGTATGCATGATCTATAGATTTGGTCTCCATACTAGTAGTTTTACTATTTTAGACGCACCCGTAAAAATGCAGCCGATACATTGGGGAGGTCTTGCGCAGCTCCGCGATCTTGGGGAACCATCAATTTGAAGGAGACTGGTTTGAGCAGTCACCAGCATGCTATAACTCTCCGGGTGAATGAAGTTGCTGTCATGAAAATCTCTCAATTTTCCGTAGATTTAAACTATTACTGGTAGCCATAGGACTAGTAGCTGAGTCTATTGTAAAAAGACACTAATTATCTATCGCACTCAAGTCGCTCAAACTATACCATCTATATCACATAAGAACACATGTACCCATCATTGCTACCTACACCGACAAAACACAAATGACAATCGTAGAAGCTGCGATTTAGTCATCGGCATCAACCCATATCAACGGCCCTTTCTTGTCCGACCGCATGTCCTCTGTGGGGAGCACCCGAAGGGTTTTGTTGAAGTATGTGTCCACCACGATCAGTTGTGGCTGTATCCATAGCCCCCGTCTAGATGCCAGTAGGTTGTACCGAACCGCGTGTCGGCTCAAAGGCACCAGCTGAACGACCAGGGTTTTCGGACCGCTAAAGGCGAAGTTTTCGCTGGCCTCCATAGTTAAGTTGAAGGTAAGGAAGTGCATCGACGGATTCTCGATAGTGTAGTCTAAGTGAATCAACCCAGAACGTATCTGGGAGGTCATTGCCGAGGCAAGCACACGTGGTTCTCCCCCAGGAACGACAAAGCGAGGAACCGCAAGTGTGGATATAGTCGTACCGTTGCTGCTCAAGGCCGATTCACCCTCATCGGTTGCGCTTCGTCGCCATTGAACTTCAAGAGCGAGGTTCAGAGCTGTGGGTCGTCGGTCGCCTAGAATTGCCTTGTGGATATCCACAGCAAAATTGGACTCGCGAAGCTCCTCCAAATAGATCTCTGGCCCGCCTGGACTAACGATCGCTTCAGGACCGACGTGGCACGTGGTTCCTCCACCCACTCCAACTAGCACCAGTGATATCTTTTCAATAACAAGCGGCGTTAGCGCAAAAGAAACGACCTTTGAGTTAAGGCACCACCGCTGCTGCAAGCCCCCGATTTTCGGGGTTGAGTCATTTCCAAGCAATGCATCATTGACGGTAAAGAAATCTGGCCATGGTTGGGGGTGGAGACGCGGCATGAATTCGTAGTTGGCCTCAAACGGCCGTATTATCGGTATCTTCACTCTCAAGGTTGCGATGATTGGAGTCTGGATATCGGATACGAGGTTATATACAGATGATATTTCAAGCTCGTAATCAGAAGCATCACGCGTATCCGTGAGGACAATTTCCAGCTGCCGGTGGGAGGACGTCTCCAATATCCCAAGTGGCCGCTTGATGAAATGAGAAAGCCCTTCCACTGGCGTACTCCTCTCGGAGCCCTGCATCCATGGTGAGCCTTCCTCGTCAAGCCATAAGACCTTAGCTGCCGATTCTGGTCGACCAAAAAGCCTAGCCTCGGCTGTGACCTCCGCAGCTTCATCCTCCTCGTTATGAATTCCAATCTTGAGGACAATGCGTTCGTTCGTGTAGTAAGTATCCATCAGATTGGGAGTTGTGATCCGTATCTTGGGCGGTTTGGGTTTTATCTTACATCGGCCAGTGTCTCGATTTTTGCCTACCCGCCTTCGAGCCACATAGTTCTTGGTTTGTTTCCACCAGAAAGATTCATGCTGGGTCAACTCCGTCATGGCACAAGTAAGGTCGAATTTCTCTTCTTCAATCAAAAGTGTGATCGAGGCCACTCGAGACTCTCCGGCTTCTCGAGGGATACAAGCCACATCGAAGACCTTTGTCTGAGAAGGGCCAATAGTCAGATCAGCAGTTCCAATGAGTGGTGTCAAGAAACTAGTGGGTGACTGGAGAGATGCCGTATCACTGGATGTACTCGGCTCTCGTAGTGACGGCGACGATATTGTGCAAGGAGTAGTTGTGTCAGTTTCAGCTACGTGGTTTGACTGTAACTTTATTGGTCGCAGACAGCCTTCGAAAGCGATTTTGATCTCAGAAAATCTTATAGGACTTGATGATCGTTGTGCGCATGATGTTATAGCGAGCTGACCATGTAATGGCTCGCCAACATTCCCCTCGGGTCTCTCGAAAATAAAAGATGCCGTGACTGACGCGAAAGAAAAGCCATGCCATCGTAAGTCATTATCCTGAAACATTACTCGGGACATACTCACCACTTGATATGATATCCTCTGCTCTGAGAACAACAGAGGGTTTGGGTGTAGCTGGTGTAATATCCTCAAGGCTTCTGTGGATATCGTAACGCCAGTCGGAGTTTGGTTGAAATGCTGGCAACAGGCAAGTGTTAGAAAACGAGGTCCCGACTTCTGAGAGGTACAACAGGGGATATATTGTAAAGTAAGCAAAGGAAAGAAATCTTACCCCTGTTGAGTAGCTCCCAATCAACTCGTAAAATCGTTTCGCTATCTTGTACTCGTACAGCACACTCCCTCAAAGCCCATCCGAATTTTTCCATAAGCTGCCACCAGCCCGAATGCCGCCAAGTGATCTTAGACCATAGTGGCTGAAGTATACCATAAGCTTCGGTCCAGGAGCCTACCCGCATGTATTCTTCCGCTATCTCCAACCTTAGGCACTCGGTTTTCCGCACCTGATCACGCTTGGAAAATTCATCTAGGGCGGCATTCAATGCAGTCAGAATTAGGGCAGAATGATTAAATCCCGCCACCCCTGATTGGGGTGCTTCAACATGAGTCTCCGGTGCCAAGTATGTGTCATATAGGTAGGACTTGCTCGCTATCTGAGAAGCAGGAGACTGCCCTGGCGGTATCCTGTCTTCGTCCGGAATCTGCTCTGCTAGATGACGTCGGCACATTGTATGCTTTGCCGATCGATACAGCCAATAGCCTTCGTGATGTAACTGTTCCCACGGATAGGACACATCTCCGGGAGGGACCGTCTTTTCACGGGGGATGAAGATCGAATACTGTTCGTTAAACTGATCCTGTGTGATGCCGACTGAGGTGAAGTAGGGAATTTCGGCTTGACGAATCAGTTGTGCCATTACCATTGACCATCTGGCTTCCCAAGCCTCCCATCCATAATTCCTTGTGCCTTTACCTCTCCGATTGATAATATCTTGTGAGCGACTTCGATGTTCAACCCAAGACCGCACGGCTGCAGCGGTTTGTCCCGTCCAGAGCAAACAACGAATAATCCTTATGGCTATAGTATCTGCCAGGAGGCGTGCATCGTTGAATCTTGGGCTCCAGCCAGCAATATTCTCGAAGACTTCCTGCCCAAACAAAGTCTCGTATGCACTCTCATAATTCCTAAGAGCTGCATCTATCTCCTGCCTAAATTCTGCAAAGATCCCCATCTTAAATTCGTACCGGACATTCCACCCTTGAAAAGACAGTGTTTGGGATGTCCCCGTTGTCGGTGGGGCCGTCGGGGAAGGAATACTACTCCGGTTTCGTTTCCGTCTTGCGTGTTTAGACAAATCCCGATAGTACTCCATCACCGACGGTTGGAGTAGTGTCAGAAGAGACTTTCCAAACTCTTTTAGTTCGTTAGGTGTTGCGTCAGGTGGAAGGAGAAAGATAGACTTCTGGTCTAGATTTGTCGCTCTGCGAATGCCGGTCACCCGGTCATCGACATCCCCGGTGAAAGCACCATTACTTTCTTCCGAAAGGAGAACAGCGATAAACCGCGTCTTATATCCCGAGGACGACCAGTCCTTCTTCAGTCCATTGATTTCGATCTTTAATTGATTGTCGCGCAAGGAACTCATATTAGGATCTAGGCAGAAGGGGAAGAAGTTTATCACAGCGGCAGGGACAAGGCTTTGGTGTTTTGTAACCCATAGGGGTGTGAGTAAGCCATCTGAAAACGTCGGTGAACTAGGCGTCAGCGGAGATATTGGAGAGTGAAGTACAAAGTATGGCACATGCGATATATCATTGCCCTGGCCGGTGGGGCTCATGGGAGGAGATACAGGTGGGGGTTCAGCTTTGCGCGGGGGAAGTCTATAAGACTGCAGGCATGTTAGCAAAACACTCCTTAAGCTTCGAGCAAAGCGATAGGTCAAAGGCAGAAGAAGGAGAGAGAAACATGTCATGACTTTTGGGGCAGTTTCTCCGCTGGGCAACCAGACTCTTGAATAGTCCGATACGTAGCGAGGTTGGCCTGGGATAGTAGTGTACATCGACATACCCGTCCAACGCTCTTGATTTTATACTCAGTTCCGGCGGGTTCCACTAGAATATTTTCCCTAGCTTCCCAAGGAGTTCGCGACGCATCTTCCGCCAAAAGTATCTCCCGCAATTCTTCCGCAGTCGAACCGCTCAACGGCGGAAGATCCGAGTATATATGGACGCCCTTCTCGTGGAGGAGGGGATAATCAGGGCAGATTGACCCCAAGCCATCTTCAGAGTCTGGTTCAAGGCCAGAGAGCAGGACGAAAGGAAGGTTGTGGACAACATAATCCTCAGGGTAGGCGTCCATCGCGGACAGGTAATTTCTTAGTGGGACGTGAGGTCACCGCATATCTAAACAAGTTGGGATGAGACGTTTGAATGGCCACCTGAGGTGATTGGCTCGAAAACAGGCGTCAATTCGAATGTTCGAAAACCGTTTATGCAGAAGGCTTTGAAACAATCTAGAACGAAGCTATATTCTTCTGGAAATTGTTGGGTGGTTGTGGTGATGGTGCATTTTCTTGCCAAGCCACAGGCAGGTTGTAGAAAGTGGCTTCTTGTCGAGTTAAACAGTCCGCCATCATCAAAACATGCCAAGCCTACTATTATCAGCGGATCTTTCTAGGCACCAAATGTCATCCCACTTGTTCTACCATATAACAGTAGGACTAACGCCCTTCTCCTTTTTCTCTTTCTCTTTATTATGCTCTCTTCTTTTTTTTCCCCCACTCTCTTTTCCTCTATAGGATTAAGTTTTAAGTATATGTGTATTGGTTTGGTTAATGTTCAAGCCAGAAGGGAAAAGAAAGAAGAAAGTTATCTACAAGCAGACTGAGATTGTTTACGGCCTGTAAGTATAAACACGAACGGGGTCTGTGTATGAAAGAAAGTCGTTGATATCAATGCGGTGGGGAATGCAGTGACATAGTACAGAGTAGAGCACGTGCATCCAATTAATTTCACGTTGCTATCAGAGCCCCGGAAGGTTCAATAGCTGGCTTTGCAGTGGAAATGCTCCTGGGACAGAAGAGCTGACGTATATTAACCATGATACACTGGGGGGAGGTGAGGAGAAGGAAGGATTAGAAAGATATTTGGCTTACAGTGTGTCTCACTTTAAAGCTACAGCTATTATCCTTGCTACTATTCTTCGGCACTTAGAACAGTAGGTGTGCTGTACAAAACATACGCTCTATTGAAAGCATACCCAATTGGTTGTGTACCGAACATAGTGGAGAGAAATGGTCTGTCTTAAAGCTATTCGAGAAACAACGGCAATACTCATGTTGATATATCTGTGGATGTATAGGTAGTTGATTGAAATAAGAAGAAACGGGCTATTAAAGATATATGTCACCGTGTGTTTAGTCGCATAGGCTAGGATTTAGGGTGAGCTACGTAGTACATATTGCTGTCCACTGTGATTATTGGAGGAATTGATCCCATCATTCCTAACTACTGACCACGGGTACTGATCCGAATGGAAGGTCTGTTTAGAGGGTGCTTCGATGATTTGACCAACTGACTCGAAAACTCATGGAAATAAATCTGTCAAATTATCAATGCGGTTCGGTGGGGACAACTTTCTAAACCGGGTCCGGAGTCTCCATTACTCAGTAGCATCATGGATCTTTACGATCTCAAGGCCAACCATAGTCAGAATTTCAGGATGTTTCGAATTAATCGCCTCCCGCACCCCCTCCTGAAGCTCCAAAATTGACGATAATAGGTGGGCCGATCCCTTGGTTCTTTGAAACAAGTGATGCGGCAATAAGATTACACGATTAATTAGATTGGATACTACTAGTAGTATGGAATCATGCAAGACTTTCCTGATCAAACGGTACGTAGAATAACAGCCAGACACTATGCTGTATATTATCTTGGTCCGACACTCCCATCCACTAACAAAGGATAACGACCATAGATGACATGGTTGGAGGGGTTCCCTGAAATTTGGATCTGCGAACCGTGCGGAGGGGGTTTCAATTGCAAGCGGCATTGCAATGCAGAGAAAATTTCAACTACCGCCAATCGGGCCATCGGGCAATATCACCTCAAGCAAATAAGAATAGGGTGGAGTAGGACGACTATCCCACTTTCGGATAGTAAAAGGGACGCTAAGAATCTTTTTTAAGGAGTTGTACTAGTAGTAGTACGGAGTACTTAGACCTTACCTACTAACCTACTAACCGACTAAGTATCTTCGACGGTAATTTTATGCCGGTTAGGAGGTGGAAATTAGAGAATAAAAAATAAACAAAACAGAAAATAATACATGATCACAATAAGACTAATATCTGCTAACACTAAGCCTATGATAAATTGAATTTAACAAGAGTGATTGTCCCTTTTGCACTTCGTCTTTCCTTCTATCTTGAGCTTGTATTTTAAATTGGAAGTCGTCGTTTTCTTGTCCAATTTTTTTTCCCCTTCTTTCTCTTCTTCTGCCCCTCAGTCAGCTTTCTTTTCCATCTTCTTCTAATGCTATTTCCCTAGCACTAAGATACATATATGACTTTCTTTCTTCCCTGCTATCATCTCGTTAAAATACAATTACTATGGTAACCGTTAATAATCCTAATTGATCTTCAGTACACTTAATTACCTTTCAATCTCCCCCCCCTTTTTTTTCCCTCTCTTCATTTTATATTATCTTCGATCAGCACTCCCCCTCGTTTCCGGTCTACTACCTAAATAAACAACAGTCCTGCAAGGGGCGTGCATGTCGCAAGGGCGTCGAGGGGATTGGTCTGGATTCTAAATTGGATCTTTGATTGAAATTTGGTTATTTTATTTTTTTCTGACTGGCAGATGCCCAGTAATCTAGAGTATAGATTGACGCCGTTGGGCTAACTTGCAGACGCCAATCCCTCCTGCACCCACTGGATCATGCAAGTGCGCGTTAAGGCCGCCCGCATATATCGCCTGTGATTGTCCTGACCCGTTTCCGGGGACAAGGTTCGTGAGGTCTTATATACCCTGTCGATAGTCACCATGGACCGGCCGGAGGACTCTGCGGCATCCATATTCAGTACCCCCTTACAATCCTCGTCGTCGCTTTTAGCCCGTCGACGCAAATCACGCTCACATTCTATTAATCGCCCCCCGATCGATCCGGCATCGCCTGAAGTAATAAGCTCCTTAATATCGTCACTCTCTACGATTTCGGTACCTCTTCAGACACATTTCGACAGCGTACCGTGCCTTGATTCTGATACCGACCTTTCGCTATCTGTTTTACCGTTAGAACGACACCCCTCCCCCGGCGCAAGTCATGAGCATGGTGTTGGGGTAAGAAAAGGGCCGCCTCAAGCCTTCGAAGAGGCTTCGCATAGTCCCTTTCTACATCCAGATGACGCAGCCGCTGCACCGGTCATTCGCATGGCCCGGGCTCCTCCATCTCCAAAGTCAAAAGTGACGACCACCGACGCTTCTGCTTCTCCAATGAGACCTACTTCTAGGGGCTCATACACGTCCTCCAGGGCAGCGTACGAAGACAACACATTCGGCATGATCACAGCCGAACCTGGTCCACGAGTCTCGACTGCACCTAGTATTGCTTCAACTAGTTCCCGGAAAAGTTTAAAGAGTCAGTTTGGCCTGTTGAAAAAGTCGTCTCGGGATTTCACATGCGACAAGGATAGACACGCAGAACGTTTGCGGAAGACGAGTAGCTACAACGACAGTTTAAGACATAATCTTCCCCGAAGTAGAACCAGTGTACGCTCGATGCATTCTATCGCTGATGTGGCCGAAAATGGCCGGCATAGCCGCTCCACTAAGGAGGCCTTTCGGGAATACGGGGCTAACTCTCAGAATGAAGAGTACTTTTCGTTGCAAAGCGCGCGCGCGAGCGCAGCCAGCACCCCCGGAGGCATCGGAAGTGGCAGGCCAATTCCTGTTCGCGAGTCTTCTCTACGTCATAGTTTCTCTTCCAGCTCTAAGCACCGGAGATCTACTCGCCATAGCCGATATTCGTCCACGGCAAGCAAAGATACGAAAGTGGATAGTGACACTGGAAACGAAGCAGAGCAGGTGACCAAGAGGATACGAGAGCTGAAGGATCAGCAACAGAAGATCAAGAACGAATTGGAGATAGACGACAGCCCCGACAAGGTCTCGAGGGAGCCGTCCACAAAACACACCCAACTACCGCAAAAGCCTAGTGCAGTCGACAACGGTGGTGAGCAAAGAGATACTGGAAGCAATAGGGTCAATGCGTTCGATGAGAGCGCTCCAGCTCCAGCTGTTATGACAGGGAGAAGTAGATCAACAACCCGTAATAATCCGCAACTCGCATCAAAAGCAACCAATTGCCCGACACAATCGTTCGTGCCGAGACAATCCTCTGACAAGCCTGACCAGGTTGAAAAGTTGCGTTATCAACGTTCAGTGGAACAGTCAACTACGCCGCGGCACCACAAACGTTCCCCGTCCGGCCCTGTTTCTCCAGGACGCGCTTCTGTTGTGGATGAGCGCCCATCCAGTGCCGATTCAATCGACCTTGCAGTTCTAGATTATGTTTCCGCTCCTAGACTTACCCAGAAAGTAACCCATCCTACCACTGGCCGCGAGATAGCTTTTTCGGAGGTCGGAGACCCTAAAGGGCACGTCGTATTATGCTGTCTTGGAATGGGCTTAACCAGATACCTGATGGCGTTCTATGATGAACTAGCACGATCGCTTCATCTCCGACTCGTCACGTTGGACCGTCCCGGGGTTGGCGAAAGTGGGCCTTACGTAGATGAGGCGGGGACTCCTCTCGGTTGGCCAGGTAAGGACACCATACTCGGCCTATGAGGATAAAATTCACTGACCCGCCATAGACGATGTTGCAATTGTATGCAACTATATCAAAGTAACAAAATTCTCAATCCTCGCTCATTCGGCCGGTGCTATTTATGCGCTGGCAACTGCCCTAAGGATCCCCCAGCATATCAGAGGCCGCATACATCTTCTAGCCCCCTGGATCCCACCATCTCAACTGTCTAGCATCGGCTCACAGAGAGCTCCAGTTCCTACGAATGCTGTTCCGTACTCTCAACGGATCCTTCGTGCCCTACCGACGTCTATTTTGAAGGTTGCTAATTCGAGCTTCATGAGCGCAACAAGTGCGAGCTTGACCGCTAGCCTCCCCAGATCCTCTCGGCGCACTAGGCGAAAGGCGACAATAAAAGACTCATCTAGCTCAGCTTTGATTGAAGCCAACGGCTCTCAACGTTATCCATCCGACCGAGTGTACCAGCAAGGAGCTGATCTCCAAGCGCTACAAATCAAGAAACTGCAAATACCCAATGGGACCCGAGTTGAAGATAGAGGCACTACAACAAGCCTGGCGGTGACTGAGTTCGAGAAACGTGAACGCCAGTCTGATTATGACAACCGCCTGACGCACAAGGTCTGGGAACTGGCCACCACGAATGCAAATCCGGCGGTGGACCTCGTCGTTTGCTTGGAACGCCGACAGCCGATTGGATTCCGCTATGTCGATATTACCCGCAATGTCGTTATCCACCATGGAAGCAGAGACACGCGCGTTCCTGTTGATAATGTAAGGTGGCTTGGCCAAAGTATGCGACGCTGTGAGGTTCGAATCCTCGAAGGCGAGGGCCATGGGCTGATGGCCTCAGCAACAGTTATGGGTAATGTCTTAATGGAAATCGCCAAAGAGTGGGAGGACTGGATGACAGTAGTCCAGGGTAAGCGTCGAGCAACTATAGGAACAAGGTCAGGCATCGCTATTCAAGCCTAATTTGGCTGAACTGCATCTGAAATTGCTGCATCAAAGTCATGGGAGATTTCGAAGTATATGGAGAATAATGGGCAAGAAATCGAAAATAAAAAAAAGAAGAAACTTTAGAGATTGAAAAGGCGTCAGATAGGTATTTCGAGAGCTCTAGCCAGGACCAGGACCTCCCACCTAAGCCTATGCTGTCATCTCAAGTACTGCTGCTGCTGGTTTTGCAGTCTTTGACTTTCACGCGTTCCTTGACAAGATACACCTCGCCTACTTTACGATTGTGAAACTCGCATTCACATTCCTATATATATATATATATATATATAAAGCTTCACTTTGACATGCCCCTGCATTCGATATGATACCATTGGTGCTTTCAGTTTTTTTTATTTTTATTTTTTATTATGTTCCTTTAGCCTAATACCCAATCATGCTGTATATAACTGTTTAATCTAATTTAGAATCAAAGATCGCTTATCACGGAGGAACCCTAAGATGTTATCTATATGATTGTAATAGCTAGTGGTCTTGGTGAATAGTACGATTCTGTGACGTAAGATCTAAGCGCGCGGCTCCTGAGTCCTAAAAAATTTAATTACTAACTACTAGTACTCCATTACTACCTGAAATACATGAATGTTACTTCTTCCCGCCCCCACGTCTGCGCTTTCTTCAGTGACGCTTAAGCCGCACTGTACAGGTTGTGATTGCCACCTTCTACACTAAATATTTATTTAAAGGGGCTCAACACCCGCAGGGGCATGGCATTTATCATCCCTAATTTCTCTGTACATCTTCTAACATCAGGTGTCGTCGCTCACTCCCCAGATGTTTACTTACCCTTGGTGTCGGAGCTACGCCTATGACCTGTCGACGCAACTGAACTGTTGAAAGAATACCAACTTCAATGCACCCAGAAGCTTACAGACTGTGGGAACACCGATGCCAAAGTTCTAGATCATTAGAGCAAGCTGTCTTAATCGAACGACTACCACCGCAATTCCTTCCGCGCTTCTAATCGGCTTGATTTACTCAAGATGCTACCTCAACGACGCATCAAGCTTCTGGCTATTGCTACTCTAGCGCTGGTTATTATGGTCATTTACTATTCGGTAAAATAGTGCCCTGATTCCTTGCTCATTCATCGTGACTAACAAAGCGCACATCCATTGTTTAGAGTGATGCACGGAGGGTACAGAACCAGAAGTTCTACCAGTCTACTGTCGCCGCGATAGAAGCACACACGCAGACGAAGGAAACTGGGGTAGCTGCAGGCAGTTCCCCGGATGAGCAACGTTTAATCGGGAACCCTACTCATGGGGACGCAGCAAAGCCCGCAGACGATAAGATGGCGCCAGCGATCCCAAGAAACGGCGATGAAGAGATGGAGGAGATATCGATTGCCGGGCGGACAAAAATGACCGTCCCTAAAGACCGCAACAATCCAGAAAGGGAAGACCAGACGTCAGGTACCAATGGACGTATGGAAGCGAAGACCGAGCTCAATAGTATACTAAAACGATCGCCGAGTAAGTATTTGCAGATTTTACCACTTCCCGGCATACATGTCGCTCGATTGCTGAGATCGTGCCCGCTGTGCAGTTATTGTCTTTTCCAAGTCCTATTGCCCCCATAGCGCCCGGGCCAAATCTATCCTCTTAGACAAATACTCAATTGTCCCAGCACCTTACGTGGTAGAGCTTGACCAACATGCATTGGGCCAACCGCTGCAGGCTCTCTTGGCAGAGAATACAGGCCGCCGCACCGTGCCTAATGTTCTAGTTAGTGGAAGAAGCATTGGTGGCGGGGATGATGTGGTCGCTCTCGATGAGAAGGACGAGTTGGCGTTAACATTCAAGAAGTTGGGAGGACAGTGGGTCCAGGAGGTTAGTCGTAAGGAAGTAGGGCACTAAGACTGACGCTACTCAATCACGGTGATACAGCAAGCACAATGCTTAGTTAAGATTATGAATATTACATAATACGTATATATAACTAATTATACACACACTATATACCTCAGGTTGGACGCTCTTTGATTAAAGGAATTTGTTGGGTGAGGCATTGTGCGTTGCGTCTACGGGGGAAGGTAAAAGGTTATAGATACATATGTAATCAGAATCATAACTCGGCCATAACCACAGGATGAGTATATCCCTCCGTCTAGTGATGGTAGGATCATGTATGTTTAGTCGTTGATAGTATACGAGACTTGAATATCCACGTGATATCATGTGATAAGCTTAGGAGACCGCGAATTGATGAGGATGAGTTGCGCAAGAGAGAAATGACAGCCTCCTAAAGTAAAGATAATATAAGACGCACTTCTCGGTCCAAAATATCTGTAGATATATACATACATAATAATCGGTCAATACCATCTGAGATAGGGAATGCCAGGTTGAGCCTTAGGCAGGTAAGTGAAGAGGTTATCAAAACTGGTCCTGTATATTACCAAAGTCCGGAACAACCCTAGACAGAATACGCTAAACCTGAACGAGTCTTAAGCGACGCACAACCCGTGATTTTCACTCCACCAGAGAAAGCGACCGGTTGCCTTTGAGGAATTTCGATCCTTTCGAACGACCGACCGCACGACGACATCGACAATTCTCCCTCGGACATTCCACAGCCCACGCAGTCAAGATGCGGTACATTCACTCCGAGGAACGGCTGCCCATCCCCGAGAATGGTGAGCATTGGATCGCCCCTGAATATTGTTTTGTTTCGGTTTTTGGAGGAGAAGCATGAGAGGCACACGTCGCGCAATGAGAGGCCTGAGCCAGGATACACCAGCACCGGCAGGATGTATACGAGGGGAGGAAATATCTACTCGATCGCTGTCGCGGGGAATTACGACTGGTCTTGTTCATCGCTTTTGAAAGGCTCTGCAGACTGATTCGAATTTTATCGTTTAGTGAAGGTTCACATTCGCTCCCGGGTTGTGACCGTTGAGGGCCCTCGAGGTATGCAAAAACCCCATAAGTTGAAGAAGATCTTCTACACCAAGAAATCGCTCTACAAGGATCGCCAGCGTCATGGAGAGAGAACAACCATGAACGGCCTGCTTGGTTTCTCTGCTCGATTCGGTCACTAACGAGACTTCAAATCTTTCAGGCAAGCTTGTTAAGGACCTCTCCCACATCGCTGTCACCTTCGGCCGCCCTGAGAAGGATGTTATCTCTATCGAGTTGCACCACGGTGCCCGCAAGGGTGTTGCTACCCTCCGTACCGTCCGCACCATCATCAATAACCTGATTATTGGTGTCACTAAGGGCTTCAAGTACAAGATGCGCTACGTCTATGCTCACTTTCCCATCAACGTCAACATTGAGAAGAACTCTGAGACTGGCCTTTACGACGTTGAGATCAGGTACGCCACATCTATCCTCTACATGAACCCAACTTCTGTTTTCTGGAGCTGGGAAGGGAATAGGGTTCACTGAGTCACTTGATATACGTATCGTGGAAGATGGAATTCTTGCTGATGGGTTGTCCTTTTAAACAGAAACTTCTTGGGTGAGAAGTACGTTCGTCGTATCACTGCCCAGCCCGGTGTTGAGATCATCACTTCCCCCAACGTTAAGGATGAGCTTCAGCTCTCCGGCAACTCCCTCGAGAATGTCTCCCAGAGCGCTGCCGACATCCAGCAGATCTGCAGAGTCCGCAACAAGGATATCCGAAAGGTAGGGTTCCTTTTCTAAGTTAATTATGATTGCGAAGCGGTTGCTGACCATTCCGTTCCAGTTCCTTGACGGTCTGTACGTGTCTGAGCGGGGTAACATTGTTGAGGAATAGATGATAACGGGGATTGTCCGCCTTGATGGGTAGTTAAGGATGCCAGGAGAATTTAATTTTCGCCTATTTGCATAGGGAAGCAAAGCGGAATTAAAGCAAAAATTTATGGACCATGGAATTCAAATGCCCCCTTTACGTCTCCACGGGTATGGCTTTTCTCGGCTTGGGGAAGAGGCGTGTAGAAAAACGACAAAAAGATGGTGGGCCTCTTAGGAGCAATCCAATTTCCTTTTTCTCTCTTCAACCGCTCTCATATGACTTGAAAGGAAATGTCCAGAAGATTCCAAGGTAGATCCGGGGTCTTTTGTGTATATGTTGTAGTTATCAAAATAGTCATGTGAGTCCAATTCCCCAATGGGGAGAAGATCAAGAAATGTGGAGAAGTAATTCCTCGTTTTTCTCCCACCTACTTAGCTACACCTACATCCTACATCTACATCTTACATCTTCATCTAATCTTATTTTGACACATATCGCCGCGACACTTTCCCCTTCGCCATTAAATCACCGATATTGTTTGTGACCTTGTGTCTTCCCGGATGACATACCCCCCTCCCTCCGGTTAGCGAGCATGTGAAAAAGGAGAAAAACGAAGGCCATCCGCTCAAGAACTCCCCCTGAACATGTGCCAATCCTTTCCCATGCAAACTCTCTCAAGTTGCTTACGATAGGAATGGAGTCTTGGGTGGCTATTTGCGGGTTATTCGCCGCAGTCGTGAACATGATGTTGGACGTCGCGCAATTTTGGAAAGAAGTGCGTTCGAGCCCCATTTTCGGGCTGGGCCAGTGCAAGGAGGCTAATGTAGTATAATTTACGACAATTTAGAGGTTATTGTCATGGTGGAGATCGAAATCGCCCCGCAGCAGACTGCGATACCGCCTAGCTAACGCCCAAACGTACAAAGAATGGGAGGAAGCTGCTTTCGAGTTGGATGAGCTTCTGAGTATGGATCTGTGGTGAGCTTATTATCCTCGAGCTTCTTATCATCGGCTGCAGTGTAGCAGACCCTCACCGAAGACAGGCGCCAAAACCCAACAAGCCGTCATTATGATTATCGACTCATTCTGGGCCGGCTGGAGGCCTTGATGGGTGCTCGAGAGGACGAAGATATCTTGACATTGGTCAATCTCCTTCGCTCCGGACTTGTCCGCAATCTAGGCAACATCACCTCTCCCAGACTGTCGCTCCACGCTTATGCTGGTACAAAGCTCCTGATAGACGATTATATCACCCAGGTTGCACTTTCCATTCAGCATGTGACAGCTCTGCAGACAGCCACTGTTTCTGAAGGTAGATTTGACTCTCAAGCTAAACTAGAGCTACTACACGACACCCGGCAGGCCTTTGGCAGAACGACGCTCCTTTTGCAAGGCGGGTCCATCTTTGGGCTATGTCATTTGGGCGTGGTGAAAGCCTTACACTTACAAGGTCTCTTGCCTAGGATCATTACAGGGACCGCCACTGGGGCACTCATCGCAGCCCTCGTTGGTGTTCATACAGAAGATGAATTGCTGACCTTCCTCAATGGTGATGGCATTGATTTAACCGCCTTCGATCGCCAACGGAAAATGAGACTTGATACCGGAAACAGTCAGTGGCTACCATACACTACGGGTGACAGTTGGTTGTGGACTTTGCTTCGACGACTTCAACGGTACATTCAGAAAGGGTACTTTCTTGATGCCGAGGTCTTAGAAGAATGTGTCCGAGCAAATCTTGGTGACCTAACATTTGAAGAAGCGTACGCACGATCGAAACGCATCCTCAATATCACGGTGGCGACGTCGGACAAGGGCGGTACTCCCAATCTGCTCAATTACCTGACCGCACCGAATGTGGTATGTACATGATAGCTCATTTGTCTTACAGAGCCGTTAGTGCTGACAAACATTCTAGTTGATTTGGTCAGCAGCAGTGGCCTCAAACGCATCGTCAAACTCACTCTATCGGCCTGTTACAATCTACTGTAAAGATGAAACTGGCTCTATTGTCCCGTGGGGTCTTTCGCGACATGGTTTCACCCAGTCGGGGCGCCGCACAGAGTACACGGATGCTGAATCACCGCTAGCCCGAATTGCTGAGCTGTTTAATGTGAATCACTTCATTGTGTCGCAAGCCCGACCATACCTCGTCCCCTTTCTCCGGTCCGACGTGAATCTTCTAGATCGCCGTCCCACGGGGCAGTGGAGTATCACCCGGTCACTGAAGCGCTTGGTCGCTACTGAGATTCGCCACCGGCTGAGACAGCTCGATTATGTTGGTCTTCTGCCACAAGCGCTCGCACGACTTCTCATTGAAGAGACTATCCCTGGCCCCAATCTTACACTGGTTCCGGATCTCTCATTGAAGGACTTTACCAAATTATTCCAGAACCCAGACAAGGAGTCCTTGGCTCATTGGATCCTAAAGGGCGAGAGAGGGACATGGCCTGCAGTCAGCGCCTTGAAGGTCCGTTGCGTTGTCGAAATCGAATTGGACAAGGGCTACCAGGTTGTTCGTCGACGACGACCAGCTGAGAACCCTTCTTCCTCTGTCCAACATACTATGGGTCAGCGCCGCATGCCAAATGAAGGGATCCCGAGGAAGTGGAAAGGGTATAGTATCGATCGCGACAGGGATATGACAGGTTTATTGGGAAATTTCGATCATCAGCAGGACGTTCTCAATCCGTGAAAGCTTTTGTATCAAGTTTCCTACTTGCTTACGTATGTTCTGATGAAGATTGGACTACATAGTTGATTAATCATGTATGCGCTTTTCCAGCCATAGTGTAAAACCGAGGATGATTCTCTCATTTCTCAACCTTACCTAGGGAAGGGTTGTATTAGCTGTAAGTCAAGCTTGTTGAATTTAGAAAGTAGAATTTTCATACTTTGATTCATGGAGAGAGCTGTTTCTTTTGCTGCGCCCTTTTCCATTAACTGCTATTATTACCTTGATAAATATGCCGTGGAGATACCCCCTTTGTTGGGAGCCACAAGGCTCCATACGTACTGGATTTCTATTGCTCAGCAGCACTCGGCTTGGGTATGAGATTATTGATGCTAGGATAGAACATCTATGAGTCACACACCCAAGCTGTCAAGGTTGTATCAATGCATATAGGTAAGAATATATATAATGACATTCCACCGACGTATACTAGCAACCTAGTAGGATATATAGAGAGAGAGAGAGAGAGAGAGAGAAATGCATTATACCCGAATACAGCTCCCATTCAGGGGCTCTTCTCGGGTCGTCAACGGCCCTTCAGTATAGTACTAAGCAGCTCTCATCGACAATTGTGTCATAAATGTGCTTTATATACATTGTGGATGCAGTAAGGGGTCTAAAATAGCGGCGATTATAGTAGGCTGCTTCCCCCCTTTCCCAGGCCTTATACTACCAATTATATGGTTGACCTAATAGTCTAAAAGTAGACTACTAGGCAGAAAGGGTGCAGTCTACTGGACGTGTCAATAAATATTGTGTCAAAACGTGGAATTCAGCAGTGGAAATATGTGTTGGGAAGGCATCCAGATAGGCAGACTCCTAGATAGATAGACTCCTAGATAGGTAGACTTCCAGCGTGTGTCAGAAAGAGGTGATGTCCAAAAGTAGTGATTTCCAGGAAATATGTGTCATAAGGTTGGTATCCAAAGGATCTAGGATAGGGTTGAATAACAGCAGTAATAGTTGCACTATAAAGTATAGACTATTCTATACAATGTAGGCTTTTAAAACCGAAGGATTCAGGGGCCCTATCCCGCGGCTGTGGATCATGTTGGTAGCATTCTAGGGAGCTAGCCAAGCCCCCTATATACCTCTTGCTAGCTAGTATTCCAGTTAGAAGGTATGTCGACGCGTTGACGCGTTCCCTAGAATAATAAAAACATAGCGATATAGGCGATTTAAGCAATTTGATGAGGCAGAGATGAGATAACATAGATGAAACACAATATAAAGGATAAGTGTTTCATTTCGGCTTTTGTAACTTGACAAAGGGACGTCTATTAGGATATATATATACGATGACTACCTTACGTACTGTTTAAGTGGAGCTTACATATGCAGTGATGGTATATATAATTAAGCCCTTGCTCCGTCGGCTTCTGTTCATGTGTGCATGATGTACTGGCCGAAACAGCGATCGAGGAAGTCGACTAGATCCCCTCATGGGTTCGATGTCCTTGCAAGAAGGAATGTGGGGGGAGTCACAAGGCATAAAAATGGCACAGCCGTAAACCCTTTAAAAAAGAGTCATACAGATACTGAACCTAGCGACAGGGATTGCCAAAGTAGTAGAATGAGAAACATGAATGGAGCTTCAATTCCAACAATATTCGGTCACAAGACACGTGCGGCTTAGAATCTAACAACCAAGAATAGCGTCACTTTCCTTGACACAGACGATATATCACAATATACAAGATTGCCAGATGTATACAAGAAGCAGAAGAGAACCAGTCAGCAAGGGAACATTGAGATCACCCTACTAAGGGTAGCTGTACATGAGTAAATAAACATATTACCATCGCAACAAAAGCGTATCATCTATGGACGTGTAGATTTTGATTGAAACCGATGCCTCACGTATTGAGGGACCCTCGAAACCCACATACATGAAATGTTCATGCAAGCAGGGAGCTCCAACCCAGGACCTAATGATTAATTGACGGCAGTCTGTGGGCGAGCAGATTGGGGACGCGACTCAGGGCGGTGGGATCCTGATCGTACGGAATAACTCTGCGAAGTTGGGCGCGCATTGTCTTGGGTTGGATCGTATGCCAATGGAGGAACTACGGTATATCTCGTCAGTCACAGTCATATTGTGGTGTATTGGATTGGAGGAAACACTCACTGCTAAATCCATATCCTTCGGTGACTCCTTCCCGGTTTTGTGGGTCAATCTCTACGCGAATGGATACATCCAGACCGCCGTACATGCCGCTATTGTTGCTGAAACCATCCGCCGCAGAGTGGCTTGCGCCAGCATTGATCTCGCCCTTATGGAGGGGGGAGTGGCCGTTTTTGGGCAGCGGTATCACTGCACTATCGTTCTGTTGTGTTGGGTCACCCTCATTGGCGAATAGGGTATCAACTTCGGTGATGCACGCATAGTTGCGTGACGGCATTGTCACCTTATTCCAGGAAGCGCTCTTCTCCTGACCTCCTGGCTGCTGATCAAACATGTCCATCAAAGTCTCATCGGTATTTGAGTCGAGATGGTGGAGTTTATTTCTTCGGGCTAAAAGATTCGCAACTGCCTTCGGAGGTGGCTTGTTTGTGATGGCGCTGCTGATGATATTGACCATATATCGAGGGTCGTTTACACTCTGAAGACCGAGATTAGGGTTCGAATAAAAACGTCCAATAGCTGCCAAGTGTACATCTCCACCCAGGATCGTGACACGAACGGAATGAACCTTGGCGAATTCTTGGAGACGTTGAATAAATAACCTGCGTTCGCGCTTGTGCTGACGAGCTGTGTAGTGGTCATCCAAATCATCAAGCAGGTCTACTTGACCGTCAAATTGGTTGAACAAGCCACCCGCGAACCCAAACCGCTTGTTGAGCAAGCGAATTGGCGCAATGATTGGGGAACTGAGAATATTCTCCAGCCATGCAAGGCGTGGATAAGCAATAGGGACGCCCAAAAGCACAACCAGATGCTTGATATCACCATTGGCCGCGGTCAATTCGTGCTCAAGCCGAGAAAAGATGAGATCGTACGTATCAGGATAATTCACCTGATGACGGGTGCGTTCCGTGCGTGCATCGACACCGATGAAGGCGATCCGCTTCCCGAGACGCATGTACAAGTTCCTACTCTTCTCCTCTACATAGGGGCCTGGTCGCTTTCCAACTATCCAGCTATCATCCTCGGCCTGGTTTTCCAAGACAAAGGTATTCTCCAGCTGTCGAGGATCCGCTCCGGCTGTTCCGTTGACTGCACGCATGGTCTGCGGGGCATCCGTCGTGTAGGTCGATCTGGGCGGTGCGACGTGATGCTGAAACAAGCAGTAGTACTTGAAGGCAACGCCTCCAATGCCTCGAAAGACGGAACAGCGCATGAAGTGGTCTGTGTAGGAGCCGAAGCCATCGATTATATCGTGGTCGTCCCAGATGTTGATCTGAGGTATGCGTCCATTTGCCGCCTTGAATGGTTCAGTAGAATACCATCGTATATAGTTTTTATAATAGTACTCATCACATCTAGCTCGCAAGTTATTATCAAAATTGTGCGCACGTCTTTTGTGGGGGTTAGAGATAGAGGTCCATTCTTTCAATGGACCGTCAACGCGGATTCCATCATTGTAGAGCTGGTCGCCACCACCAATCATCGCATGGAAGGGTTTTTGCGCATGCACGCGCAAGACATCGTTCCACAGGTTTGGACCGACCCAGGCGTCCATATCTGTGCCAACGGAAAAGCCATTGCAGGAATGAAACATAAGACGCATGGATTGGTTTATAGACGGGACCACGAAATCCCAAGGCGATCTCACTTCCTGTCCCTCCGCATATTGAAAACCTGGAATGCTGTACTCCCAGCGCGCTTCATATGACTGGAGAGGTAGTGAGATTGAGAATCGCCAGAATGTTTTCGATGGATCTTCGAAAAGGCGAAGGCCGGCGATTGCAATGCTTCGGCTATTGGATAGATTCCCATTGACTGAAGTATTACCTTCAACAGGGCCAGCCTGGCGCAAAACGAGCTGCGGCTGCTTTTGACCAGGTTTCGTCACAATCAAAACACTTCCATGCCAACTCGAGGAGGACAGAGTGACATCCGTATTTTTGAAATTGATCAAGGGCCCGCAGATTACATTAATTTGCGCATTCGAATCGTGTGATTGGCCATTGAAGGCTGCACCTTCCGCAAATCGACCACCGAGCAAAGTCAGCGACATGATCCGCTTTTTGAACCATCCGGATGTTAATAATAAAATGCTTGCTTACCCAGCTGAGTTTGTGCGGCCATTGCAGTACGACTCCTAAAGGCCGCAAACTGCTCACGACAGATACAACAATGAACAAAGGAAACAATAAACAAGACAAGAAGAAATTACTAAATGTGTTGTCGCGGGAAGTGTAATCAATTGCACTGAAACCGCTAGGGGGAAGGGTATCAAGACAAAGATCGAGAAACAAGACACAAGGGGAGGAGGGAACCAAGAAGGGATCACCACGTTATTAAATTTCAAGCGATCCACAAGAGATCACGATAATCTGTTCACCGTACACAAGCGAGTGGGAAAGGAGATAAGAGCGCCTGATCATGGGTCGGTTAAGAACAGGGGGGTTATCGAGAAGGCCGCAATAGCTTGGCGCAGTTAGCAATTAGAAAGATAGAAGGCCAAAAAGCGCGCTCGCACATGAAGAGGCAGATAGAGAGAGAGAGAGAGAGAGAGAGAGAGAGAGAGAGAGGGAAAGAACGATTTGCAAAAGGGGGAAAAATAATAATAATAACAATAATAATAATAATCATAAAGGAACGAAATGAGGGGGAGAAAAGGAAGAGATATCCAGCTCAAGGAGCGAGATGGAATTCAAATAGACCGTAATGTATGTCACCCAGCGATTCCGCAGTAGGGCTGAAGGGCTGAGCGGAAAAAAAGTGAAAGGAGGTAAATAGGAAGACTTGCGAAATGAGAAAAAACTGGACGAGCAGTGCTTGGCCCCGAAAGTGCAGGTGCCACGGAATTGTAGTTTGACTAGTCAAAACACTACAGTGTATTCCGTACCAAACTACCAAGATATGAATAGTAGTTCCTTGGCAGTTGATGTTTAGGAAGAGTTTGTCCCCCCTAACATGCTCATTGGTACCCGGAGTTCGTTTGATGGAGGTTCGAAATGACGATGAGGCACAGAATGGGCCAATCGTCACGAGGTGAG